TTTTCAATTTTTGTTAAATTTACATTACTGTTTTCGCTCCAGTTTTCTAACCATTTGTCGAAATGAGGCGTATGATACGCCATTGAAAAGCTACGGACGAGGCGCAACTTTCATATGTTGAAATGTTTTTGAGATTCCTTATGGTTTTTAGTTAATTTTGAAAATCATGCGGCTGGCGACGAGAGGCAGCGGCCGTTTTTCGGGAAATTTTTATAAACCGCTGGTCAGAATGATTCAAGTTAAACGCTGTTGAAAAGATATCGATGAGGTGCAACTTTTTCATGTAGAACACTCTCTCTGATTCTTTACGGTTTAAGAGCAATTTTGATTTTAACAAAATGCGGACACTCTGTTTTGTTGCGACATCAAAATCGTCATTTGTACTGCATCACACAACAAACCGCTCTGCTTTGGACTAAAAGCAGCACTTCATCAGATGGACAAGTGCACTGCATCATTCCTTTTTTGTGGGACATAAATTTTCCCAAACAAGGTAGCAAACCGCACTTCTTTAGACTAAAACACGCACTTGATCAGACGGACAAGTTTGCACTGCATTATTTCTTTTTTGTTGGACGTAATTTTTTTCAAACGAGCTGGCAAACCGCACTTCTTTATATTGAGACCCGCACTTTATCAGACGGACAAGTGACAAGTGCACTGCATCATTTCTATTTTGTGAGACATAAATTTCCCCAAACGAGGTGGAGTGCACTTCATGTCGACCGTTGGTAAACCGCAATACTATGAAAACTGAACCACATTATTTTTCTTTCATCGTCTCCGTAACTTTTTTATCTACGAGTATGCATTGCAAGGACGAGGTGAGTGTACTGCATCAATTTTTCTTTTTCCAATTTTCTTTCCACTGCACACAACAACAGAGTGAGCTGCATTAAAAAAAATCAACTTTTCCAATTTGTTTTTGCACTTGGCAACATAGTGAACCACTGGGAGAGAGAAGATCACTGCGGTAATGAAACAAGTGAGCTGCACCTAAACATATTTTTTTGTTGTTTTCTTCAATGAATGTTTTCGAGAGAGCTGCGATCTGTACATCTCTGGACTACGAGACAGGGCGAACGAACTACAGTGATCCTCTTTTTAATCCATAGTACTAACACACACAAATTACAATGACGAGGAACTACTACAACAACAAAAAAGAACTCCACTTTTGTGCACAAACCGAGCTGCACTGGAGTGGCACCAGGAACTGCAAAACACCATGTAGAGGACCTCCTCTCTCCCTCCAGCGATCTGCAAAGGACAGCGTGGCCAACCACACACAGAGCGGCCGCTGGCACATCCACGGCACCGCACAGATCATAGGCGGACTGCAGACAAGCAAAATCTGAAGAAAAAGAAGGTCCCAAAGTGCAATAGAACGACGGTGACGCACCGCACCACAGCGAGGGGAACCAGGCCAACTGCACGCCGACGACGCCCTATCTCAACTGAATGCCGTAGAGGAGATCTGACGCACAACGACATCAGGATCCATAGCGGCGGTGGAAGACAAGATTGAGATGCCCATGGCGGCATCTGCGGGCATAAGGGAGATGTGAGGGAGGAAGATGAAGGCAATTAGGGAGAGGAGGGGAGGCTCACCTTCGGTGCTGCTGTGGTCACCTGAGCACCATCGCTGGCCATGCGCCATGCAGTCCATTTGCCTACCCGAGGAGGTCCGACACAAAGTGGACCGCGCGCCACTTCACCGGTGGATTGCTGCCTGCCTGCCTCACAACAAGTAGTGCATGCCAGGGATGGGGCGTCGGCCATGAGACCTCCCCATATCTGCTAGTGATGCCGGCGGGAAGTGGATGTTCGCCGGGAGTAGGGGGCTCAGGGCAGGAGAAAGAGAGAGGTAGAGAAGGTGGAGGCGGGGCGAGATGGAATAGGCGGCGTGGAGGCTGGTCGCGCCAGATCCGGCGCCGGAGCGACCTTAGGCGGTGGCGGTGGGGGCATGAAGCACCGGATCTCACCGGATCCGATGCAGAGGTCGGCGCGGACGGAGGTAGGTCGCCGGGGAGGGGAAAGGAAGGTGCGGCACCATGGATGTGGGTCGTGGCAGAGCGCGAGGTGTGGGGAGGCGCGGGCAGATGGGGGTGTCGTCGCGGAGAAGGTGGGTAGGAGGTAGGTGATGCAGTGTCGCGCGAGGTGGTGGGGTGGCGCGGTTGCGTGGCCCCCTGGCCTAGGGAAGGTGGCGCCATGGCCGGCGGGGTTGGTGGTAGGTGGTGCGGCGGCGCGGGGGAGTTGGCTCGGTGGCGCGGTTGGGACGGTGGTGGAGCATGGGGAGAGAGGGAGGAGTGGGGTGGGTGAGGATAGGATAAGGTGTGGTGGGATTTTTTCTTTGCCCGCGCAGTTCATTCGGTTCCTTTGCATGGTTAGTTTGTAGTTACGAAATAGGTCGGGTGTTAGCAGAATAAGGTGAGTGTTAGTAGAATAAGAGTCTTAAGGGTGTTATCATAATAGACACACACACACACATATATATATATATATATATGTATATGTATATATATATATGGAGAGAAAGAGAGAGAGAGATGGAGAGAGAGAGAGGAGGGGAGAGACAGACAACCCAGGTTCTGCTCTTTGATAGGAAATTGTGAATTGAAATGGTAATAGGACTATACATGTACTGCCGCTGGTGTGCTTTACCTTGTTAATTTAGACAACCCCAGATTTCACTGTACCTTAGGTATATGCTTCTGGTGTGATTCTTCCTTTTGGAAGAGAGAGCAGGAAGAGATGAGAGATGTATGGTGCCTGTGTGTGCGCTTGTTGGTTGCTGATGGAACTAGTACTATTGTGTGCTGCTAATCTATGTTTCCTCTTGTATGATGCTACTGATTGCTGCACTGGACTGCATTGTTTTTTTGCTGCTGATGCTATTGCTAGTTATTTGTAATTAAGCTCCGTGTACCTTTGTTTTTGTTTCAGATTTTGGTACTGGACCATCAGAGTTATTTTGATCTATTGCATAGTGATGTCGGATTGAATCATTTGCACTAGACTGAAGAACAACATGTCTATTTTGAAGGGCATGAAGAACAACAAATTGATCCTGTAGGCCATGAAGAACAATAGACTGATCTCGAAGGCCATGAAGAACATTAGACTAATCTCGAACGGCCTGAAGAACTCACCCCTCCTGTGAAAGCAAGGTCTTCGAAAGCAATGGCAAAGAAAGCAAGCGCTTCGAAACTAGTCGTTGGGGTTCTAATGCTAGTTATAAAATATTGTTAAATATAGAATATGGGAGATGATTTAGGGCAACTGCTGGAGTCAGACAATTTTTAGGGGAGAATAAACATTTTTAGGGGAGAATAAACAGTTAGGGGAGAATAAACCTGAAGGCCGAACGGAGCGCCGGTCGAGCGCGAGCCGCGCGATCTGTTTTCAATCGTACGCCTCGCGATCCCTCTGTGCTCAATACAGCTAGGCACACGAATCAATTTTTTTATCGCAGCAAGCTCCTCTTAACCGATCCCTCTGTGCTCAATACAGCTAGGCCCACCTTATCCTCTTAACCGTTCGTCCTCATCCCTTCCTTCTTCCTCGCCGCAAGCTCCTCTGCGGCTGTCATGGCCGCTACCTCCGGTGACAAGCCAACTCCTCGCAGGCCTCGGCCATGGCCATGACGATGTTGCGGTCCTGACACACCATGGCCGCCGCTGCTGGGGGCGCCGTATCCCTGCGAACCTGCAGGTGAGGCACTGCAGAACCCGCCACAACCCCCCGTGTAATGGTGTAGTGTTGCAACGGCGTAGTGTTTCTGCTACTACCAGCGACATAAATTGCTACTACCAGCGGCGATTTTTGTTACATTCATTTGTGAAGACGATGCGACCTAGACGATAGAGGCATTTTTTTTGCCGCAACCGAACAAATCTTTGCTACTACTGACTACAGGATTTGCTACATCATTCATGAAGATGCAACCCTTGACAGCCGCAACAACGTTTTGTTACAACCACACAGAATGTTTGCTACTACCATAGACAGTAATTGTTACCACCATTTCACGGCGGTGACCGGTGACCGGAAATAAGAAAAGTTGCAACCGGCGACGAAAAAAGCTTCAACCGGCTAGGAAAAAAGCTTCGACCGGCGATACAGAAAGCTTCAACCGGCGACAGGAAACGCAGAAAGCTACAATCGTTAACACAAAAGCTTCAACCATATATTTCAAAAGCTTCAACCAGAGACCGGCGACGAAAAAGCTGCAGTGGCGAGCCGTTGATGCACATGACTGTTTCTGTGCACCAATGGTGCTGCAACGGATGCTGGAACTGGTGGCCACGCCATTGTTGGACCTGGCGGCCGCCATTGCCGCCTTTTTTTGATGCAGCTGGTACCTTTTTTGCTGCAGCGGAGACGGCGAGCGGCGAGCGGCGACAGCAAGCGGCGGCCATGGCGAGCCAAGAGCAACGCGGGGTGTGGCAGACGGCGACGGCGGCCAGAGTCAACGATGTGCGGCGGATGAGGAAGACGACAGAAGCGTCCACATCGAGCCGGTCTGATACGTGCGTGATCGAGCGGTTCCGCGTGCTCCGTGTTAGACAGATCCAATGATCCACGCGGGACCGTCCTAAAGTTCCGGCCGGTGCGCCGGCGCCTATTAGCGCCCATATTTTCAAGGGAGTCCCTGGTTTTGAGATATAGGGGAATTTTTTTAAGGGAAACTGCTGAACTTGCTCTAACGCACACCACAGCGCCCGCCAACGACAGTGATGTTCAGCGGCAAGTGCACGAGGCAAGGCGAATACCTCCATGAGCTCGAGAAGATCATGGGAGTCTTCTGCTTGGTCGACCTGAGTCGTTGGCTTCATCAGTTACTCTAACCTCCGAGATCACGAGCGTTGTCACCTCTGTTACAATGTTCTCTTTACAAAGAGGAACGAATCTCACAGACCCTTAATTACGCAAATAGACCTACTAGGAATCTAGGAAGAAAATAGATGACGGCTTAACAAGTTCGACAGGTTACTCATTCAGAGCACCCACTCGATGGCATCACTCGTGAAGGCATAACGTGCACACTTGTGCTTGACCATCTGGAGGCTCCGATCATCACCCACACAAGGCATCATCTCTACGCCTGTGAGCAGAGCAAACTGCTGACCGGTTGTTTCTGCTTCAAATGTCCCGGCGATGAGAAACTTGCCATCGCCCAGGTTGAGAAGCTCGAAACGCACCGGAATACACATCCACTCCACCTCAGGTGGGATCAGATTTTGCCAAACTTGCAGCGCAGTGGGCGGTCGGTCATGGTGCATGGCAGAGAGGTCCAGTGCACACAGGTGGCCGGGGCTGAAGGCCGAGAAGCCGAACCACATGTTGAACTCAGGGACGTACTGGGCTCCGCCCTTAAAGGGCAGCGACCACCTCCCGACATGCTTCCATTCCTCCGAGTGCGTCCACCCCAGACGATGATGAGAATCAAGGCGTGCCGTCTCAAAGCTGTAGGTGCCGATGCTGCCCTCGCATGTCACGTAGATGGTGGAGCACCCGTTGCCGTCGACTACGGCGGCGTAGGCGGTGATAGAGGAGGGTCGTCTGTACCCAGGTTGGCGGACAAAGGGAGGCGGCGGGAGGAGCCGCCAGCGCCAGGCCGCCCTCAGGTCGCTCAGCTCGCTGCACTCGGACATGTACTCAAGGACCTCGAAGCATCCATCGTCGCCCGGCCCCGGGTACGTGTCCATGACGTACAAGCTGTCTTGGTCACGGCCAGGGTGCGCGATGTGCAGGCACATGGGGTAGACTCCCTTGCGCTCGTTCATGCAGCCCAGGGTGCTGACGAGCTGCCTGTCGGCGTCGTACATCACGGCCTCGCCGGCCGGGTTAGCGGCGACCATCCTGCCTCCGCTGGTGGCGCGGGGGCTGAAGAGCGCGAACATGTCCAGGCTGTCACCACCGGAGGGGTTTGCCATGAAGCTCATTCCTGGGTGCGGCAGCTGCAGTGCCCGCATCGCCGGAAAAGGATCCTTCATCCTAGCTGCTTCATCCGCCGCCTCCAGCGCTTCCTTCGCTGACCGGTAGAAGAGTTGGTCGAAAGGATCGATGTGGCGCACCGAATAGACGTATTGGGCGCAATTGCGCGTCACCAGATTCACGAACCGCCTCCGCATCTTCGTCGCTCCCGGTCTCCCAGCTTGAGCTTGTACGGCGATCGGGGCGGCGGCGGACACGAGGGTGGGATCCTTCCGTTCTTCTCAAAAAGATTTCCGCCTACTTGGGCCACGGGCCCAACAGTTAGTGCTTTAGAGGCAACGGTGGAGCACATGTTTTGCTTTTCTTCTACCCTAAAAAAAAGATAAGTATATTTTTCGTCCTTTAACTCTGTCCAAAATATAGAAATCGTCCCTCAACTCCGAAACCATTAAAACCAGGTCCCTCAACTATTTAAACCGGATACTTTCCGTCCCTCGTAACACTTGTAGTGGTTTTAATATGACGTGGACCTGGTTTTGAGTAAAACCGTCCACGTGACCTGGTTTTGACCGCCACCTCACTTAAGTGACTGAGTGTACCCGCCGGCTCTCCCTCCCTCGCATTCTCTCGATCCTCCTTCTCTCATTCACGATTAGATGACTAAGTGCACCTGATCTCGCATACATTTCATATCCCTTCTTCCAGGATTAGCATTGCTTTATGATATCCATCTAGTTGCCTTGTTGCCACACTCACACTCCACCGCCGACTGAGAATCCAACGGCCCCTCACGGTATGGGATGGGGGACAAGCGACCGGGAGGGGTCGATGGTGAAGAACAAGAAGACCCACGTGAGCAACTTGAACTGGCCGAGGTTGCCATCTGCATGCCAGCCGAGGGACTCACTGTGAGACCCCCGCCAGATCGTCGGTGTCGCCCTACACAGCCAACCACCACCGCCTAAGTCGTTGTCGCCGCCTCCTTGCCCAGCTAGCCGCCACCGCACAGCCGCCGCCCTGCCCAGCCAGCAACCAACGCTCGTGAATCTCCACCGGGCCATGCTCCACTTCCGGTCGCCGTCGCTGCTCTAGGGTTTGTGAGATAAAGGGGATCGAGTGAATGCGGGAGAGAGAGGCAGCGAGGCCCTCAGCCACTTAAGTGACGTGACGGTTAAAATAGGCCATGTGGACGGTTTTAGACAAAACCGGGTCACGTCATACTAAAACCACTGTAAGTGTTACGAGGGACGAAAAGTATCCGGTTTAAAAAGTTCAGGGACTGAGTTTTAGTGGTTTCGGAGTTGAGAGACTATTTCTATACTTGAAAGAGTTCGAGGAACCCGCCACGGTCTTCCTAGCTAGCCACCGCCTCCAAAAAGCTAGGGTTCTCTGCCTCCTGCCGGCGCCGGTGCCGGTCCGTCCCGTCCCATCTCCTGTGGCCTTAGGGCCATGGAGACGGAGTGGATCTCGGCCCTTTCCGGTGGGAGGGCTCTGTTTTTAGATCTTTTTTCGAGCTTTGTTAGGGTATGTGTCCTGCTTAGGAAGGCGAGACAGCGGCGACTCCTGAAGATGGAATAAAGGTCTTCCCGCCTAGCCCTCATTCCGGTGATGCGTCTAGCATCATCGGTGGGAATGTGGAAGTGTGTCTCCGGTGGATCTATCTTTGGTGAATTAGCTCGGATATGTTCGTCGTTCGTCTTCGCTCGTGTGTCTTCAGGTTGGATCCTTTTGATCTACACTCTTCATCTGTGGCGGTTGTTGTTCTGGTGCGTTGGTTCTATGGGGTCTTAGCACGATGACTTCCTGACTGTCTACTACAACAATATTTGCCCAGCTCCGACGAGGGAGGGGCGATGACAGCGGCGCGCCTTCGGCTCGCTTCAGTGTTGTAGTCGGCGCTAGGTGGTCTACAGATCTTGATGTAATTTTTATTGTTTCTAGTATTCATTGTACTACCATGATTGAAGATGAATAGATTGGAAGTTTTCTCAAAAAAAAGAAAGAGTTCGAGGATGAATAATATACTCATATAAAAATTCGTGCTACTGTACCACGGCTGGATTTTGTGATCAGCCGAGCCGCGTTTTCCATTCGAAAATTGGTGTTACTTGCTAACAAGTAAATTACCCTTCTTCATTGGTCTTTCAATATTTCTTAAGATCTTTTTCTAATAGACGCACCAACAATAAAGTTGTGACCAAATATGAAAATAGGTAAATCACTTGCTACACATAACTCTTCAAATCGGTTGAGAGAGCACGATGATTGTATCACTTGAACAATATCTTGCTCTACTTTTGGATGACTCTCCAACGTCTTGTCTTCCTCTTTTTCTTGATTCCATGCCTCATTGATATGAACATCTTTCTCAATCGAACTATGTGTTCGGCTTTTTGTACTTCTCCTTGATGTTTGCCAGTTTCTATGGCACAAAATCATAGGGCAGGAAGTAGGTCTCATTAACTTTAGAAAAAATAAAGGATGGTTGTTTTCCTAGGCATGCCATGCCCTTTATCAATGGTGGTTGCCTTTTTGGATTTGATTAACTTAGAACATATTGTATTTGATCTGGCTTTTTCAACGGAAGCACTTTCACTCTTTGAATCATCCTTTCATTAGTTCTACTAATTGTCAAGATTTCTTTCTTAATAAGTATTACTTGGTTCGCTTTTTTCGATAACCAAACTACTGTGATCATCTGAATCATCATTCTTTTTTCAACTCTAACAATTGTCAAATATACGTTCTTTGAGCCATTTTTCATTGGTCCCGGCAAGAACTTACACCCTACTACGGAAAGCTATAACTACTCTCTCAATTCCACACGTTCTAGCTAGTATTGCCCCCAATGATTTTAGATTCTTCCTGCAATGACACACGAGTGTTTTTGAAACTTTGTAATTATGTAGGGGGTGTATAGTATGATGTAGTACTAAATGAAGACATGTGTATTGTTGGAGAACCATATTTTTGCTCGCCAATTCTATAAATTGACAAAAAATTCTTGTAAACTCTAGATTTTATCGCATCATAATCAGGAAACAACGCCTTTCATGTTGTTCAAGGCAAATATCACTAATCTTGTTATTTCGAGCTATATGCATTTTTAATGCAACCACTTCCCATTCTTGAAGGGATTGAACCACAAGACTTCTAGAACCTTTCGTCAATGATTTGTGGGTGTTACAAAATTTTGCAATTGCATAGATGATGCATATGCTACAATATTAGGTGAAGGCATGTGCGCTCCTGCAAATTTTTCATCTATATGGGTATGACCATGGTACGGAGCCGAACTATGAATATCTATAGTTGTGTACATTGCTGGAAAATTATAACGTGAGGCGTAGCATACAAGGGCCGAGAGTAATTGTCCGAATAGCTAGTAGTAGCATGGCCAACTCTCCATCCATCGGTATGTTTGGACTAGCATATCCCAAACTAGTTGATGATGGATAAAAGAGTAAAACACTTTATTGCACGACATTGGAAATTCTAACATGTGGTGTTTCAAATTTATTTATCGAACTAATCATGTTGTTCATCGGCATAACGATTTGTGTGGTTACCGATGCATGAGAGTTGGAATACATATGGTGCATGTTACTAGTATCATAAGAAGTTGAAGCATGTAAATTACTTTGAATCGGGCCTTGCACATAATTAGTTGCATGATTGAAAAAACTAGGCCTAGCCGATAGAGTATACCCATTGAATGGTCTGCTAACACCATATGAATTATATGCATGTATGCAAGGGGATTTGGTATTCACATTACCTTTGTAGATAGCAAACCCTTGATGGTGATCTCTTCGTAGACACAATGGTCAGATCATGGTGGACTATTAGAAACTTCATTCCAGCAGAGTTGCTAAAAAGTATGTCCGTGCACAAACACGTCATCGTGTACCTCCAACGTCGAGCGCGGTACACATGACACGTTGCTGGAGGAGCCTCGCCGGAGCATGATATGCAAGACACGCCGACGAGGTCTTTTGAGGAACGGAAATCTCACACGCCTAGGAGCGACCCCGTCAAGGTTCTCGGGGGCTATGGACTGCCTAGGTCGACCTGATCACCCCTAGGGCCTTGTGGATCATTGCCCTCCAACAGGAAGAACAAACGAGAACAAGGAAGAATAAGGACAAAGGAGAAGGAAAAGGTAAATGTAAAACATGTTGGGAAACATAGCATGCAATTTTAAAAAATTTCCTACACTCACGCAAGATCTATCTAGGATATGCATAGCAACGAGGGGAAGAGTGTGTCTACGTACCCTCGTAGACCGTAAGCGGAAGCATTTGACAACGCAGTTGATGTAGTCGAACTTCTTCTAGCTTCGACCGATCAAGTACCGAACGTACGACACCTCCGAGTTCTGCACATGTTCAGCTCGGTGATGTCCCTCGTCTTCTTGATCCAGCAAGGCGTCGAGGTAGTAGATGAGTTCTGTTAGTACGACGGTGTGGTGACGGTGATGGCGAAGTGATCCGCGCAGGGCTTCACCTAAGCATTACGAAGATATGACCATGGGAGTAAACGGTGGAGGGGGGCGCCGCACACGGCTATGCAATAGTCTGGGGTGTGCTAGGGGTGCCCCCCACATATATAGGTGGGAGGGGGGAGGCAGCCAAGGTGCACCCTAGGGTTGGCCGCCGCCCCCTAGGGGCCCTGCCTTGCCCTGCGCACCCCCCTTCCATGTATGCATGAAGGGGAA